AAAAAAAAAAAAAAAAAAAAAAATAACTATTCCTACTGGAGCAAACGCGAATTAGATCATTATAATATAATCGATACAAGTTTTAAGAATTTCCAACATTCATATTTTTTAATGTAATTTATTAATTATATATTGAGCTAAAGAGTTTTGTTGTGAGATCGCTGTGTGTGTTACACTATATATATTCTTTCAGTATTTTTAAACGAATAGTACAAAACAGCGACAAAAAAAATGGTAAAATATAATAAATGGTATAATGTAATCGTTTTGATTTACTGATAGAATATACACTATGGTTCTTATATTAATGTACATATATAAACAGTGTGACAAAGAATTGCATAGTTGTTAAAATTTAATGAAAAAGACAAAAAATATGCAAATTGTAATAGTAAACACTGTGAGTGTCTTCAAACATATTTCGCATTTATTACATAATTTTAATATATTTAAATGTAAAAGAAGTTTGTATCGATAAATGATTTGTATTTGTAGACACTCAAATCATTTACTTATGTAGTAAAAAGTAACTAAATTTCAAATGTGTATTTGTAAATTTCACGTTACATTTTTTTGTTATATATATATTATTTTAGAAAAGTATGTCAAAAATATGTCAAAATATGCAAACTGTTACAAAAAATTGAAGACATACATAATATATTTTTTATGTACGGTATTTTTTAATACCATTTTTCACCATTTATGATATATAAATTTAATTATATATTACAACTATTTTTTAAATATGAAAATCGGTTGAATTAATGAAGATATATTAATTATTTAAGATACAATGCCAAAAGACTCAATTTTAATTTGATATGTTCATTTCTGTAAACATTTTAATGTATTTCCAAAAAGAGTATAAATTGTTGCCTATTGCAGATTTATTAAAACTTTTGTAATCGTTATTATGTTTTGTTTTCAAAAAAATTTTTTATATTTCTAAATTTTTCATATTTTATATATTTCCATTTCATGTTACATATATATTACTTTAACACGAACGAATATACATAGTTTCATATCTTTCGAGACAAGTACAAAATTTCAACTAAATTGATATGTATTGCTTATTATAATTATAATAATGAATATTAGAAAATTCTACTAAATTATTTATGTAAGATAAAAAATTCATTTGTGATATTTGCAATCTAGTAAACTTGAATTACAATACCATTTTAAGTTTCTGGAAATGCTATACGCATGTAAATAAAATTAAGCCTGTATTTTTATGACAATGACTAATGAAGATCTGGGATGAATATATCAAAATATTATTTCTTCCAAAATTGAGAATTGCATGTAAGTTCGTTTAGATACAGGATTGATGCTGCAAATGTATTTTTTATTGCAAAGCACTAATAATGTAGATTTAAATAGGCATTGTAAAATCACATCAATTACAAAAATCGAAAATTATTATGTCAGAATATATAAATCTGATTTTCCAAAAAATATCTCAAGTCAGAATGTATTTTGAAATGTAGAAAATGAGTAATTGCATAAATGTTTAAATCCATTATAAGATAATACTACTTTTCAATATTGGATTGAAAAAAAGAAACTCATATAACAAACTAAATGTTTGGCAAAACTTGGTGCCTTTTATTTCATACAAGAATGAAAACATTTTTTTACTGTACCTTGATTATATAAAGAATCGAGGTCAAATGACCAAAATGAACAAAATAGATATTTATGCTCTTCCCCTTTAGGGCTTCTTTTATAATGTTTTACTTTTTAAAAAGGGTTAGAAAGTTTTTTAATAATAAAATAGAAAAATGAATTAAATGAATGTATGGAAGAAAATGTATACATTTTGTAAAAATAGCAAACAAAAAATATTGCTTTTTAAATTTTTTCTTATATGATTCTTTTTGCATAAAAAATTTGTTTTAAAATAAAATTTACTTTATTGAAGGTTATAATAATGGATATATACTGATTAAATTTATTACATTGCGATATTCGCAAATAGTTTTTACGAAAATATATATATATTTATTTATTATATAAAAGTATTGCATACTAGTCAAACTTTATAGATTTAAGTCAAAAACAGGGATTGAATATCACACAGAAAATTAACCATTGATTGCGCATTATATTATTTGTGCAAAAGGAAAAGATAGGATATTTCTATAACTATAATGAGCTTATACATGTAAAAACTAATGATATCTGTATTAAGTGTAAGAATGGCTTTCTAAGAAATTTCTGTTTCTTTTCTTGTCAATAATTCATTCAATGATGGCAAGTATGATTGAATATAGAAATATATGTTAATTAAATTCATTTTTGAAATAATATATTTAAAAATCAAAATCAAACTAAGATATCCTACTGCATAAAAATAATATTTAATTCAATATTTTATATGTGGTTCTATATTCATCGATACTTGCTTGTACTTTGTACTTTTTAGGTATGATTGCTGTTTGTAAGTTTCACATAGTTATCAATTTCACAAAGTGCAAGCAATTGTAGTCTTGTTATTGATGATGAAAGATCAAACTTAACACAGTTTCCTATGTTGCGAAAGAAGACGGCCTTAAATAATTCCAGTTGTAAGACAGAAAAAAAGAGTTTAGTATGTTGTTAAGAGATGAACACTGAGAACAAATGAAGAAAAAGAAAATTAAGAAAAAGTCCTGAAAAAGGAAAAGTAAAAATATCGTTTTCCTTATAACTTAAAGAAAATATTTTGATACCTCCAGATTTGCACAAGTCGAGTGTCATTCATTATTGCTTAAATAAGATTATTTTTACTGAATGCAGCTCAAAATGATAATAATTTATATAAATTACATGAGATTTAAGAAGCTCTAAGAATTGTGTGAATGTGTGAATCACAAAAAAATGAATAATAAATATATGTTTAAAACTTGTAACATTATGTTTATTATCTAATTCATGAATCTATGAATATTTTAAATAAAATATTGAGAATTCATTGATAATAATATCACATATTTGTATATTCATAAAACATTTGGAAGATTGATTCTAAAAATTAAAAAAAATATATTTTTAAAAATTTTTTAATATTTTTACTATTAATATAATAATTTAATATTTAGATTTATTTATAAATTATAAACAATTTGAGTTTGCAGATTAGATAAAATATTTAGAGATAGAAAGATTTTTATTTTATTCTATCTTGCTTCATTTAAGGTAAATTTGAATTTTTTTAATATATTATAATTTATATATTATAATTTAATATATTATAATTTAATAAATAAGTCTTAAGTGATTTTTATATAAGAATTTCTGTATTTATTTTAGTTTATAGTAAAATATTTGATTTTATAGTAGAATCAGTTCTCCAAAGAAGTTCTACAAATATATTAAATATCTTGTATTATAAATTATAAACTATAAACAAAAGGTGAATCTTTAAAATTAATCTTTAAAATAATTAAATGAATAAATTTTTCTATTGCAGCATAAACAATTGTACTTTTATCTTACCAAAACTAATTCATGAGAAGATGAAACAGAAAAACAATTTCTTAAATCGTTTTTTAGATAAATTATTAAATTATCTTTTATTGAATTTATGTTAAAACAGAAAAATTTATTTGCTTAGAGATTGAGAGTTTTATTTTTTGTTTATAATTTATAATGTATATAGAATGTATACAAACAAAAATGTATACAATGTAATGAAAAGCAATCAAATACAGATTTATATTAATACAGTAGATATATTAAAATACAGTAGATATATACATATGTGAAAACAAAATTAATTATATAATAAGTTTTTTTAAGCTTTTAAGAT